TGATGGCAAATCTGCACTAATATATTTCTATCCACAGTATAATCTCTAACTTTGTTAGATCAGTTTATTTTATTTGTCATAAGATAATTAAAACTATTTTCAAACATTTGTAAATAAATCGTTAGTAATAAAATATTAAATTATAAATCATGGCTAAAAAAATTGCGATAGAAGAGCACTAGCCCCATGTTGGTTTAATCCCAACATGGCACTGTTTTGGAAAAGTACCAACCTTATTGTCAAAGTCTGCAAAATTAGCGAAGCCACTGCCACTGTTTCCAAAACCAGTATCGTGTTTTGGTGTGATTGGACCCTATAATTGAATTTAGAACCCTAGTCAAATGAATGATGAATGACAATGATTGATATCATTAAATTACCTGCAATGGTCGCGGTGGTGCAGGACGCGGTGGGGGCTGTTTTGCTTTTTTTGGGGGCAATGCAGGACTGGGAGACTCTGGTCTTGGTGGTGGTATAGATTTTGATCCCAAATGTGAACCTATGGCGATTAAAATATGCAGTTATAATACTAATTACATTTATTGAAATTTATTTCCAGCATACCTGGACTTGGAATTTGTGAAGCTGAAGTCGGTGCATGTAATATAGCAAATGGATCACTTCCAAAATCGTCTTTGTTGGGCTAAACAAATTTGCAATCAAAACCAAAGTACAAGTGTATAGATTAACTACATTTTACTACTATTGAATTAAAAAAACGTAAAGCAAGGAGTTTGTCATGTTTATTTTTTAAATTTGAAATTAACGATACTCACATCATGGGAAATTGTATTTACATTTTTCTTGTCGCCGAATGGATCTTGTGTTGCCGAGTTTTCAAATGGATCATTTGTTTTTGGAGAAAAACTGCTACCAAAACCATCATCAAAACCACCGAAACTGCTGTTATTTTCATCAAATGTAGTAGCAAATTTATTTGTTTTGAACTCGTTATCTGTTCCATTACTAAAACTATTCGCCTTATCATTGAATGGGTCAGAAGTCGGCTCCTAATTATAGAGAATTAATATTTATTTTCAAAATAAAAAAAATATATATAAAATGTATACCGTTCTTTCTTCCAAAGCTTTCTTGGCCTCTCGAAAGTCTGGTTCAATTTTCAGAGAGAAGTACGAGGCTTGACTTGGATCGTTTGCCTCAATCGCTGTTTTACAAACAGCAAGTGCATCGTTCATTTGTCGTTGACTTTCCTCCAGTTGTGTAACTAAGGACTTTATCTGACATATTTGCAGCTGTGTTTCTTGTAGAGTTTTGGACAATCTATCCAAATTTCGCTTGTTATCTTCGTACTCTTTTTCTAGTGATGATTCTTCGTCTTTCAACTTTTGCAATTCATTTCTTTTGGAATCTAATTCCGTCTCTTGTTCACGGATCGTTTCTTCTTGTTTCTGACATTGTTCACGTATTTTGGCAACCTGGATTAAATGTGATTTTCATATTATTTGACTTTACAAAATGCATTTGGAAAATAGTTTTTTTACTTCAAAATTTATATCAACAAGTAACGAACTGCTATAAACAATAACAATACGAGGGTTGCTCCATAATTTTTTTTAAAAACATATATAACACAGTTGTTTTTTGTCGAAAATGGTTTTATTGTTTTTCAAAATATTCCCCGAGATGATCGATACACTTTTGCATTCGATGAAACCATTTGTCATAGCATTCGTGCCACTCCGAAACTGATATCTCCAAAACGTGTGTTTTGAACGCTTCAACTGCTTCTTCTGGTGTCGAAAATCGTTGACCACGTAGTTTTTTCTTCACGCTTGGGAACAAAAAAAAGTCATTGGGTGCCAGGTCAGGACTGTACGGTGGATGACCCATCAGTTCGATGTTTTGACCGGTCAAAAATCGAGTAGTTTGAAAAGATGTGTGAGAGCTCGCATTATCGTGATGAAGAATTATTTTGCGACGGTGGTTGTTTTTTCTTATTTCACCAAACACTTCGGGCAAACAAATGGTGGTATACCAATCAGAATTGACGGTCTTACGATCCTCTAGTGGAACGGTTGCCACATGACCACTTCTCCCGAAAAAATAGGCGACCATTCGCTTCGAAGTGCTTCTTGCTCGAACAACTTTCGTTGGGTTATCTTCATTTTGGAAGACCCATACAGTCGACTGCTGTTTCGTTTCGGGCTCATAGGCATATATCCACGATTCGTCACCAGTGACGATTTTATTAACGTCTTTTGAAGCACCACGATTGAATTTCTTGAGCATTTCTTTACACCAACTCACACGAGCCATTTTTTGTTCATCGGTCAATTTATGTGGGATCCAACGAGAGCAAATCTTTTTTACGGCTAAATGTTCATGCAAAATTGTATGTATGCTGTGGGATGAAATGCCCAAAGATGCCTCAATCTCACGGTAGGTCACATGACGATCTTCCATAATCAGTTTTCTGACAGCATCGATGTTTTGTGGCACAACAGCCGATTTTGGACGACCTGTATGAAACTCGTCTTTGAGCGAACTACGACCGCAACGGAATTCTCGGTACCAGTTATAAATTGTCTGAAGGGTTGGTGCTTCATTGCCAAAGGCCAAATGAAGTCGATCGAAACACTGTTGTTGAGATAATTTACTTCGAAAATCGTAGTAAATCATTTTACGAAAATCTTCACGTGTAAAATTCATTTTTTTGTTGAGTCGCAGTTTACCAGTCACTGTAAACAATACAAATAGCGTTCGTACGACAAAAGGTTCAGGGCACGAATACATACCAAAACATCAAACTTTACGAATATGACAATGGTTTACATCGGGCAACACTATAAGTACCATTTTAAAAAAAATTATGGAGCAACCTACGTACGTTTGTGTATAAGAAAATAAATTAATTTTTTTGGAAATATTCCGGTTTTTTCTCTGCGTCCAATTTAGAGGAATTTTGTATTTAGTATCGAATTGAATAGACACTTCATTCAGACAAAAATGATAGGATTTATTAAGTGTTTTTGCTATGAAATATATGCATATTAGAATATTGCAATGTGAACTTCATCACAAATTTTTTAATTGAAAGCAATCTCGAACAATTCATCATGTTCACACTCAAAGTGTATAAAAATGCTTCAAATAACTATTTACTGATCAAATTCTCAAGGTTTCATTGTCAGCACCACTCACACAAATGTGCAAACTCGCAAATATCAAGGAACATTTTCAAAAGCCATCTGAAATTCATCGACAACAGTGAATTTCAATTAAATTCTCAACTGCCCAATTTTCAAATTCTCAACTGTTGGAATTTGCTATCACATGATCACAACTATTACTCATTACTATCACTTCAGCTGAATGGGTGATACATTCGAAGCCAAATACTAGCTCGAAATTAAATGATGACAAACCTGTGCCTTTAAATCGTTTAGTCGCTTTTGTGCTTCTCCTTTTTGATTTTCAAGTTGTTTCAATGTGGCGACTAATGTATCAAGTTCACTTTGCAAATTTCGCACTTCACCATTTTTTATACGAATATCTGCCTCCTTTTGAACAAGTTCGCTCTCTAGCTGGCGTCTTTCGTTGGCTAATTCTTCAATCTCTTTTGCAATCATTTCCAATTCTGGATTTGTGTAGACTTGACGTTGTGGTTCGATTGGCTGTACCGCTGCCGGTGCGATTAGATCACCCAAATTAACAACATTATTCGTACGAAGGCCTAAAATTATAAACATACAAATGTGTATTTGCCACTCACAAATAGGTTGGTATATAATATTTAAACTTAACAACTTACTTGGTGGAACCATATTCGGGGCCAGAACATTGGGCGGCTCTATACCATTTTTTTTCTTGCGCTCAACTAGCCACATAGCAAGAGCAAATTGTTCAGCTGTCAATTTACCAGACTGATTTGTATCGCACAATGCCCATATCTGTGCCAAGCACATCTGCGGTATGCCTGATTGTACAAATATACCCTTAATTTCGCCACCTGACACCAAACCATCTTTATCTAGATCACTTTTAGCGAATATGATATCATAGCGTGCTTTATCAGTCGAACTAACGACCCAATCAGTAACTGGCTGAGAGCTAGAGCCCAGAAACGATGGCACACTGTTCTGACAATTTGGTTGTGGCATTGGTGGTATAGCCGGTGGCAAATTATTAAAAACAGCTGGTAATGGTGGTATTGGGGGTGGTCCAATGTTCGCAACATCAAAATTTGCGACAAAATTATCGCTTGGAGCACTGACCTTTCTAGCAGAACGTTGCAATTCTGCCGGCAGTGCTTGCGGTATTGCACGCTTATCCAGTGCTTGGTAAACTAAATGCATGGCCTTTTTAATAATATAAAAAAATTATGTTACATTATGTATAATAGAGTGTTTCCCATATCTATAATTAAAAAAATGGTATGTTTCAATTTAAAGAGCATAAAATTCTGTTTTAAGTCGTAGCATTAATGTGAAGCACCGATTGATATTGACACTTCCCGAAGCAAAAAACCCTTTAAAGCAAAAATTGTCTAATGTCTTAATATTGAATTAGTATTATTGATGTGAACCGAGCCTTATGACATTTGACGATCATTTCATTGGTTTTCGAAATGTCATAAACGCCGCTTCATTCATACCGAGATCACATTATTTTCGATATACGTGCATTTTGTATCGATTTGATCCGAACACTTTCCAAATTTCCACACTTGATCAATCGATTGACAAATTGTTGAATTGAAGTCACCAGTGTGAGTAAACTTAATCATTTTATTACCGTGAAAAATATTGGTTAATTCTCCAACTTATTGTGAAATTCATTTTTATTTCATAGCACGTAATATAAGCCATTTATAATGTGAAATATATTTAAGTACTCTAATAATTATTTAACGTTGAACCTATCATTTCATGAAAAAAGTAATGAATTTCACAATTATTCTGCAGTACATAATTCTGTTGCGTGAGGTGGTGAAATTCATTTCAAGCGGTGATACCCATTTTGAATTGGTTCCATTGTTCAGAGAAGAGAAACAGTTATTGTTTGGGCTCAAATTGAATCTGAATACTCAATAGTATGCGTTACATTGTTTTCTTCTCTAAATCACTGCCATTGTTATCAATCCGAAGATTTTTGTCATTTTTGTGTGCTGCATCATTTTGTGTGTGTACCAAAAAAGGAGATAGATTCTTGTTCTGTTGTCGCTCGAAAAAATTGAATTTAAAACATGTGTGTGCGTGTGTGCATATTTGTGCGGGAGATTTATTCATTCGTAAATTTCTATAAAAAAATCTCGATATGGATCAATGAAAATGTCTAAATATCGCCAATTCAATAGTATTCGTTTTTAAACTAAATCGAATAAATGTGTTTTTTTTTTTTCAATAGAAAAATGGCAAATCGTTACAAGCCGTCTCTACCAGCTGAGGGAGAAAAGAAAGATGAGATAACGACGATCAAATGTGCACTAAAATCAATAATTCGGCCGCCATACCAGCAGGAACTGATCGGCAAAATAACTGATCTAAGTCTACAGGCTACAATGATTTGCAATTTGGGTTCGTTGCTGTTCTTATTAGAGGTGCAAAAGGCATATGAACGTAGGCATCAACAATGGTGACTGCAGCTTCTTTGCCAATAGCGGGGAAGAAAAGATCAACACATGTTTTAGTCAAGTGCTAGCAAAGCACAACCCAACAAATGTAATTATACACTAAAATCAACTATGGATAACATGGATTTTACAGTTCTATTTTGATTAATATATTGATTTCAATTCAAAATTCATTTTATTTTCGCATCCATTCTAACTGATTTTTTTCTCTTTTTTCATTCCATTGTAATTTACAATTGTAAATTAATTTTCTACCGAAGCCGAAGCCGAACAAAACACCAAATCCGAAGCCAAAGCCAGAGCCAGAGCCAAAGCCGGAGCCAGAGGAACCATCAAAGACTAAACGGAAACCCCGTGGACCAGCAAAAGAAATTCCACCAATCGATCTAGAATTCAAGGCAATTGTGGAAGGTCTTGATGAGGTCCATCGCTTTGATTGGCCCAGCAACAAAGATTTCGGTAATGGCCTCAAACATCTATGCAATCAATACATAGACAACAATGTCACCAATTCGCAAACACATCCGGATAAACACATAACCCAATATCTGAAGATGAAAGTGTTTCAGATGAACACAAATGAAGCCATTGAAGAGAAATACCTGCCAAGTGACATCGACTGTGTGCACAGTAAGAAAATATCAGCCGACGCTATACGCAAAACCGACTGGTACGTGCGCTCATACGTTTTTACATCTTTTACATCTAGTGACCATACGATTTTTCGACTGATTCGTTACTCTTTGTGCGTATCTTCGCACAGTCGAAAAATCGTATAGTAATAGATGTAAAAGATGTAAAAACGAATGAGCGCACGTACCAGTCGGTTTTGCGTATAGCGTCGGCTGATATTTTCTTTCTGTGTGGTTAAACTCATTCTCAAGGAAAAGGTATGTTGAAAATGTTTATTCAAATCATGAAAAGAACTGAGTTTTCAATGGTTCATATTGTTTAAGCTTACAATGGTTTTTTTTTTTGACTCATTGACAAATGTTTATAAAAATGACTTTAATCTATTTCCCTTTTTTTCATTGAAAAAGGTCATCAAAGTGCCAGCTAGTGACCCAAATAAACTTTATCGGTGCGGAGTTTTGTATGACATCGTCAATAAGTTGAATGTGTTCCCGGAAATCGACCTACATGATCTCACGACTAATTCAAAAAATTGGTTCAAAGCTGTGCCGATGTATCTATCTATGCAACGCGAGATAGAAGAATTTAATTTGCTGCGAGCACATCAAGAGCCACCGAAGAAACGCAAAAAGAGAAAGCACAGAAGACCGAAGGGTAAGAAAAGAAAGTGGATCATCAAACGAAAACAAATGCTCGACGATTTGGAATATCTACCGTGCATTCGCAATTTGGTAGTACTTCCGATGTGTGATTTTCGGCGTACGCACTTCAAAATCGACTCTTCGAGTATGTATCAGATCTTGTCTTCTCAAAAATTGATTCCGAAACAGTTAACTGAAGACGGAAAACCAAGTGGAAAAAATATTTCACAAACGGCTTTCAACGAGAATAAAGATTACATATGGAATCAGTATTTTTATATGCGTAAAATTCGGTGGTTTGTGCGCCGCAAAAATAAATTTGACTTTTCGATAAACAGCGATGGAATTGCTGTGTCTCTGCAGTATTCCACCAAAAAGAAGGAGACCAGCAACACACAATCGGGCACCAGTCGCTTGGACATCATTGACATGTTGAAGGCGGGCAAATTCAAAAGATTGGGAGGTACAGATTCAGGCATGCGGAACTGGAATACCACAACAATACATGAAATTGATACTTGCAAAGAAGTATGTGTAGTATACTAAAATACAATGATGCACATTGTGTTTAAGTTCACTAATTATTTTTGTTTTTTTTTTCGATTTATTCGCAGATCAACTTTGTTAAAAAGAGCAAGCAGTTCCATTGGGAGACACATCAGAACGTACGAAACGCAAAGGCGAAGCGATTCACGAAAAATTTCATCGAGAAAGAAAGACAAGATCGAGAGAATCGTGAGCTGTACGCAATGATGCCATCACCAAAAGGTTCACAGTGGCTGAGCTATATTAAGCATCGAGTTAAGATGACCAAACATGGAATCGAAGCTTACTCGACTGCAAAGTACACTAGACTCGCCTTGGACAAATACATTAGGAGCAACAAAGCTATCGACGGATTTGTGAACAAGATCACCAATAAGGAACCGACTCTGTTATTCCATGGTCGCTAAGAAGCGACCATACATTGTTGTCGTGCCGGTGGACGAATGGGGAACATCTCAAACAGACGCAAGATGTATGTGCCGATTCTAAAACCAACCCAAATCGGCCAAATTCAAGATGTGTCGGTGCATACGCAACGCCATAACACTGCTTCCAGCCAAAATTGTGTCTAAGTTTGGCAAGACAGATACATCTACATATCGACAGTTACAACGCACATTGAACGGAGCATTTGAAATAGAAGAGGAGCTAATGTCAAGAGTAAAACCTTACTACAAAAAATGGCAATTAGACCTCGAATGCACCGTGAATTGGCATCGTGACGTCGTGGCTGCTAAGAACATTCTACTGAAAGGTAAGGATATTGATACACAATGTGATTGAATGATCGCAAAAAAAGATTCATTTTTTCGATTGATCAGGACTATGGACATTGCTTGGGCTTCCAATACCTGCTGCAATCAACCGATATTGGAATCAAATCAACGCCGATGCCGCCGTCTTCGACGACGATAACGACGTGGACATATCCGAGCCCGAGTTCGAATAGCAGCCAACTAATCATCACAATACCATACAATAAAATAAAATAAATCATAAGTAACATTTGTTACGTAACTGCTATCCCGAATATGTGGGTTAGTTATGCACAAAAAAAGTCATTTCCCATTTGGTTGAGATGGCTGTGCGGGAGTACAAACGGAGCGTTTTTCCATTGTAAGTATCATTAGATTTTGAAAACAGTTTTTTGCTTCGGGAAGTGCTAACATCAATCGCTTCGTTGTATAAATGCCATTAACTAACATAGAATTTTGCCTACTTTAAATTAATAAATACCATTTTTCTATTTACAGATATGGGAAACACCCTAATGTATAAGTATAAAAAAGCAATAAAAAGATACATACAACAGTGAATTCATGTTTATCTAAACTACCATCTCGATCTTGATCGGCCAAGTCCCATATCTTACTAAGGACGTCTAATGGTAACTTTGAGTCCATTAATACGCTGCGTACCTTATTACCTGTAATGAAAAATAGAATTGGTGTGTCAAAAATATAAATGTCTAATATATTGCAGAATTTTTTCGCAGTAAAGTTCCAACATTACAATTAAGTGTAACAGTAAAATGGAATCGTTAACAAGAAGTAATCAATGTAATTTTAAATGGGTTTTGTCTTCATTTTTTTTTAAATATAAAAGTTTGTTGTCTTTTATTTCAACGAAAATCATTCACTTCAAAACCTAATAGAAATGATATTTAGCTTAAAATAAAATCTTTTCATTCAAATAAATACAGTTTATTACCCTAGTTGAAGTGACCATACCTGGTAGTAAACCATTACTTGGTTGAAGTGACTCAAATAATTCTTCATATTTTAGTTTATCGACTGTCTTTATGCTCCAGTCATCGTTCGTAGCAGGTACCGCCTGAATTTTTGGTACCACGATTTTTGGTATTTCACCCTATATTGAAAATGATATCAATTAGTGTTTAAATATCTGTTATTTCAAAACTTCATAAGAAATATACATACAACTTTTGGTGGATTTGATGGTTCGTTGAAAATATTCGTCATGTTTATTGTATCACCCGTTTGAGCCAATGCCACTAGTTTCAAAGCAACAAACAAACCAGATTTATCGAGATAGCCTTTTCCTGTTGGATCGGACAGGTCCCATATCTATAATTTTTTAAAGGTAAGTTTGTTGTCTATCAAACGCACACCAATATACTTACTCTGCTCAAAACAACATCGCTCAACCCTGATTTTTTTAAGAACTTGGCTGCTGCTACTGCTTCGATTGTGCCTGTACCATTTGGATCAATTTGTTTATAGTATGCTTCATATATTGGATTATATTTCCCAGCAACCTATGAAAGAATCACATTTGTTCACAAAACGAAAATAATATGAACTATCGGCAAAAAAACATTTCAGGGAAAAGGACTTTTTCATTTTTATCTTCGTCAATAATGGGAGTTAACATAAATTCTTGCCAGGAAATGTTTTCAATCAAACACAGCTGAATGCTGAGAATGAGAGTGTAATGAAACTTTTGTTTGCAAAAACCTATTATTTTTTTAAGTCTATAATATAAAGAACGTGTTGTGGCAAATGGTTTGGAAATCATATAATTTTAGCAAAGGTAATGTTTGATTCAAAACATTCATTTGTTGTATTTATTTGTAATTCTTGAATATATATGGAATAATATAAGTGATAGCAATACAATTTTATCAATTGTTATCGTATTTCTCATACAGATACTTGAATTGTTTTTTCTCTCATTTAACATAAGTGACACTACTACAATTTTCATATCAAAATATAGGTAACTTTTTCAACTTTTCAAAAATAAACATAATCAAAATCATTTTTCACTAATTCTGTAAATATATCAAAAAAATGTGAAATACCTTTGTCGGACTTGGTAGTGTCGACGCCATGTTTTTTAATCAAACTAAATGAATGTAAAAATCGTTGTACAACTCGAAAATGTCTGAATGTTTAGGTGTCAAAATTGGTAAAAATGTCAAACACAAAAATAGATACTACACTAGCAATGTATTAGTAAAGATACATTTTCATGAATAAATGAACAATGTTTTGATTGTATGTGTGCCATTGTAATTTTCGTTTCTTTGGGTGTCGTTCACATAATAACTAAATAACCAACTATTCAACTGTCATTTTTATTGATCGAATTTAATTTGTGTGTAAAAAGTTTTAAAATAATGATGAAAAAAAAAAGAAAAGAAAATTATATATTCTTATAATCTTATTAAATTGGATCAAGCTTATGTCCCCTACGGACATATAGATTAAGATCTTTTTACATGTTGATTTTAAAATCAGTACTTTGTTTTGCCCATTCTTTGAGAGCGTTCAAGCCGTCTTGATTGACTTTTTCATAGAATGGCAATTTTTTCATATGATTGAACCACCAATTATGGAGTTTCGGCCAACTTTCCACCACAACTGGAACAATCATATCCATTGTTGAAACAATAGTAACTACAGAAAAATCGGCGATTGTCATCTAAAATGAGAAAAAGAATGAAAAATAATTAAAATATTGTCTTATTGAATTGAACATTGTGGCATTCGGTGAAAACCAATATTAAAATTTAAAAAAGCAATTTTGAATAAAATATATTTTTTCATACTGTGTCACATGCAATGAATTCATTTTCAGTTAAGAAATTTTCCAAAATGTCAAACTGCTCACGAAATTTAACCGCATGCTCTTCAACTTGTTCCTTTTTCAGTTTGTTGATGATTATTTGGCCCTACAATGAAATTTTTAATGTTTATTGGCAATGCATTTTATAATTTTTCAAAAAAAATAAACTACAATTGCATCGCTATCCCGACGAAACAACAAAGTTCCAGAATAAAAAAGTTTGCTAAGAACTTGAATACGTTGATATGGATCCGATGGCCATAACAAATTGTTCCCTTTTCCATAGTTCTCACATAGATATATCAAAATACAATGACTATCGGTCAGCGTTATTTTCGAGTCTCTAAACGTTGGAACCGTGTGGCATGAATTTATCTAATTCGTAAAAATAATTGTAAAGTATTCATTTTTAATTCTTTGTGTTCAAAGGTAACTAATTTTAAATGCATATAACCTTTAAAAAACTTTCACCGAAATGTTCGCCTTTCGATAAATCAATGATTTTTTCTTCAACTTCAATTCCAAGCGCTTGAATAAGCATTAAAACACTTCGAACTGGTGGGCTACGTCTATCCAAATATAATTCCGGCTTCATTTTTATAACATTTATTATCGAAATATAATTCCAAATTTCAACACGATCGATTCAAAGAAATTCACACAGATCAAGCGATCAATATGCTTCTGACAACATTGAATAAGAACTAAAACAATTTAACCGAACAAAAACTGAATATATATAGTGTGTAAGAGTAATTGCTTATGCAGTTGACAAAGGAGTAATTGAATACGCATTGAAATTCAAAACAAGCATCGTTGTTTTTATTATCTATAAACGTATTTTCTAACAATTGTGACGCAATACTGGAAATATAAAAAAGATCTGAGTGACGCTTATGTTCAGATACATGCACAAAATATTGAGTTAGCTTTCTCTATGAAAAAGATACATGAAAATGGCTAAAAAATTGAAATTGATGATATAATATAAATTAAATAAAAAAATACTCCAAAATTTCGTTTCAATGTGTAGGTTTAAACAAATATCTCTAAGAATTGAACCAATTTATCAAAATGGTTTCCACCGGTGGGCGCTGGTGATACAGATTTACCGGCATTAAAATTGTAATGTTACTAACCATTACATTAACATAAATGTTTGTAATAGCTACTACAATTGTATTAGATATTACTGTAATGCTAAAAATCTGACATTACAATTGTAATAGCATTACAGTAATGTTTCGTTACAATAACAATGTGTTATTGGAACTTTTAGTTGAAAATATATTTACAATAGATGGAGTTTGTGTCTGCTCCAAGCTCAGCATTAAAATTGATTGGGTTGATGAGCAATTTCAATGATGAGCTTAGAGCAGACACAGACGCCATCTATTGTAAATATACATATTTCCAACTTAAATTTGTATTAAAAAGTCTTATTATTAATGTTAGATTTTTGACATTAGCGGCAGCGTTGAGTAACACATTATTATTGTAACGAAGCATTGCCAGTAATGTTATAAGAATAGAAATATCTATTACTGGTAATGCTAGAATCTAACGTTACAATTGTAATGACTGCAAAATGTAAATCTGTAGCTCGTGAAGCACTCTTTTTATGAAAATATTTGTTGAAAATTCAACAATACGCCACCTATTAAAGACAATAAAGATTTTCGTTACTACTGCTGTGTTGACACAGCTCTAGCGAACTATATAGCTGTATCGCAAACGTATTAGTACTGACACCGATTCTGTGTATGCGTATTTGTTGTCAATTTTGCACAAGCAGCTACGGTTGACAACTGAGTGCAAGCTCTACTAATATATTCTTCTAAAAGCTTTTCCAAAAGTCAGCTGTCGCGAATATTTCTTTGGTGAATATATAGAAGTGACGCCAAATACATACACTATTGGTATTGCGTCATTCGGAGGACTGCCGTTCTCCATGATTATTATGGTAACAAATATTTATCGCGTATATTTGATAAAAGCATTCATAAAATACTGTGTAAATACTAAATAGATATACATATGACATATTATTCAACGATGTTCTGATGCAGTTGATAAAACAAAGTATCTTAAATAACATAGCAATGCCATTTCTAGTCAATATCTTGAAAAAGAAAGTGAGGTAAATCCAATTATTAGCATATGAAAGTTGATGCAAAGGCTAACATCTTATTTTTGCTTATGAAGCAGAACCAATGCGAATGGTATATAAAATTATTGAGAATTAGGACCTATTATGCCCATATTGCCCATAATTATTTATAAGTTTGTGAAATCGATCGAAAAAATGTGTTACCAAAAGTATCGGTTTTCTATTTCTATTTCTGAATTTCAATTTATTAACAAATGCAGTGTAATTCAATCATCTAGAAATAATATTTAAGATATTCATGGAAGTTAATCATAAGCGTAAAACGAAGAACAAATCGATCAAATTTCTAATGCAATTGATACCTATATGAATATGAAAAATCAGTATTCATTTGACTTTATCGCAGATGTATTTGGCCTTGCTTGAATTGTACGAAAGAAACGAAATAAAGTTCACAAATTCAGTTTTATCTAAAACTCACTGAATATGAAACTCGCTTTCGAAATGCGCATCTGAGAATTTATTATAATTCTTAATAGTATGAATAAAGTATAACATAATCTCTGAAATAAGATGTAATTTTTCTAATAACTGAAATCTTATAAAATGAAAAAAAAAAAAAAAAATCAATTAACAGTCCATTTAAAAAATTGTGTGCGCTATTCTATTTTCGTGTGAGGCAGAACGCACTCTAAAATGATGATAGGACAAAGTACTAAGAACGACTAAGAAACATAAAATAATCAGAAAGCATGGCATGTGAAATGTCAAATTGATTTGCCAGTTGTCAACACGAATTATTCACATGTAATCGAATATATCATTGATGTAACAGAATGAACAATTGAAAATTTTATTTGCGATACACGTTCATCGATTGTTATTAAGTAAGTTTATTATTTAATGGAAATATATGAGTTGTTAGTCAATTCTTATTTGCTTTTTCTTTCATTAGAAATCTCTATCCATAATAATTAGAAAAATCAACGATGTCTCGAGTTCTGAGTATAGTACCGATAGTGTATCGAACTCAACGCAGTTGTTTATTAAAGAGCACACATTTACAACATATTTCAAAATTAAACTATTCGGCACGGCCAAGTTTTATCTCGCGGATAGTCACTAATTTAAAAAATGAGTTTGAAAAAAATAAAGAGATGAAAGAGAACATAAAAAAGTTTCGTGAAGAAGCCGAAAAACTTGAACAATCTGATGCATTGAAATCAGCGCGTAAAAAATTTAATATCGTTGAATCAGAAGCGTCAAAGGGTGGCGAGGTGTTCAAAGACCATCTAGATTCATTGAAAGGAAAGGTTTCGACTGCCATTGACGAGGCTGCTAGAACAGAATTAGGTAAAAAGGCTGGTCAATGGAGTGAAGAAATATCCAAATCGGCAAAAGGCGTTGGAGAAACGATAAGTGAAACAGGAAAAAAAATTGGACAAACAAATGCCTTCCAAAGTATTTCAGAAGCATCGGAAATTGTTAAGAAAGAAATTGATACACAAAGCATTCAAGGAAAGGTTTACGAAAGTCCAGTCAAACTACGAAAACGAAAAGAAATGGATTTATCAAGTGATAGCCGTATTTTTGAAGCAAATACCGAAGATACTGGCATCGAATTGCACAAAGATTCCAAATTTTATCAGTCGTGGGAAAATTTTAAAAATAATAACCAATATGTGAATAAAGTATTGGATTGGAAAATGAAATATGAAGAATCTGAAAATCCAATGATCCGAGCTTCCCGCCTCCTCACTGACAAAGTAACAGATATTATGGGTGGTTTATTTTCAAAAACTGAACTATCGGAGACTCTTACAGAAATTTGTAAAATCGATCAAAATTTTAACGAAAAACAATTTTTACGAGACTGCGAAGATGATATCATACCAAATATATTAGAAGCAATGGTTCGCGGTGATTTAGAAATATTGAAAGATTGGTGCTTTGAAAGTACATATAATATAATTGCGACACCAATTGCCCAAGCACAAAAAGCCGGATTCTATTTAGATTCAAAAATATTGGACATAGAAAATATTGATTTGGCTATGGGAAAGGTTATGGAACAAGGACCTGTACTCATAGTAACATTTCAAACCCAGCAAATAATGTGCGTACGAAATGCTAAGAACGAAGTTGTCGAAGGCGATCCTGAAAAAGTGATGAGAGTTAACTATGTTTGGGTTTTGTGCAGAGATCCAGAAGATCTGAATCCCAGATCGGCTTGGAGGCTAATGGAACTCTCAGCAAACAGGTAATTCAGCGTTAACGCTTTTACTCAATTACGAATCAAATCACTTTTCGATGATAAAAATATGACTCTATTTTGATAATCAATTTTTTCTTAGCTTTGATCTTAATTCATAGTTAACTTTCTAACTCGCTATTTTTTCTCTTTTTTCTTTCCATTGTGACGTTAAATTTATCTGAAACTATACACAAATCCGTCCTCAAAATTGACATTCAACATATGACCGACGACGGATGAATTTACCCAAATAACTGTTACTGTTAATAATATTACTATATATAGTGATGAACAGTTCGTGTAGATTCAACAAATTTTTCAAAAATATAAAAAAAAATTAATAAATTGTTTGAAACTTATGAAAAAAACAAAAAATATTTGTGTTTATGCATACCATAGTTTTCCATCTCAAAATAGCTACATCTTTGAAAATTCTTTTCGATAACATTGTAAATGATGGTGTAAAATTTAACGATATCGATTCAGTACTCTTGCACCCAAGGCTATGTTACATGTTTCATCCTTATACAAATTATAAAATATGCATTAATAGCAGTGTTAGTGTTATTATAAATACGTTGCAATCTATATTTTTGGTCAGTTATAGATAACATTTCGGTGCATATAGTCAAATTTTATTGTATTTTTTTTTCTGAGCAATGTCAGAGAAGCCAATTTTGTATCTGCCGCGGAATTAGAAGTCGAATTAGAGTGGAAAGTTATAGATTTAATGCGGCTTGAGCACAAAAATGCGGAGTTTATTAAGGTTATTATCATAATTTTCTCGTTTTATTTCAAATCGAAATCAATGTTTTCCCATATGATAAAACATCAGGTTAATCCTCAGCACACCATTCCATTACTGATTTTTAATGATGTTGTAATTGCTGACAGTCATTCAATTTGCACTTACTTAAGTGAAAAGTTTGGAGAAACCGACAGATTGTATCCGAAAGACTTGGTAAAACGCTCTTTAGTTGACAGTCGTCTACATTTTGACTCTGGACATTTGTTTGCCAGAATGAGATTTTTATATGAACCCATATTATACAACAAATCCAGTGAAATGCCAGAAGATCGTATTCAATACATCCAAACTGCATGGGATATTATGGAACGATTTTTGGAAAATTCTTTATACGTTTGCGGTGACAAAATGACAATTGTCGATTTATGTCTCTCCGCAACTGAATCATTGACAGAAATTTGCTCAATGGATCAAATTGCCCATCGAAATGTGATCATGTGGTTACAGCGCATGTCACAATTACCGTACTACGAAGAATTAAACAGAGATCCTTCAAAAAAACTTCAAACTTGTGTCATTGAGTTACAGAAAAAGAATGCGGGAGAGTTTTAAAGGAGAGGCATTTTTCAGATAGTACTAGTTAAAAAATATATAAATTATCGTTCACCCTATCTAGTTTAATTCAACATTTTTTTCGTATTAAATAAATAAATTGGTACTCACAATATTTCCAAATATGTTCACTCATTTTAACTCGGAATGAGTTTAATATAATAAAAATACACAACAGCTACACTTTTTGATCAACACTTTATTCAATGAATCATCTGCAATATTTATTATTTATACATATATGTATACGTGTGATTAAAATCTCTAAAATTACCCAAGAAACAAATATGTAACGTTACTTAGACATTTTTACGTTAAAAATGTAACATTTTGGATTAGTGTAGTGATCATTTTTCAGAGACAAGTGAAACGTACGTCATACAAAATGAAATAGATCGGTTTCATTTACACCCATTCGATATACTATTCTTTTAAAAGCTTAATGTGAATACGAGCCATATTAAGTTTACCGTTTGTATTTCAAACCTAAAAATCCATTTGTAGCACAAATAAAAAAGATTTTGCTTACAAAGGAATTTAGATAATTTAATTTAAGTTTCTGCAAAAAACGACGTGGTATTTTTTTCATTTAATTTTTTAATCAATGCAAATTTCTCAGTCAGCTACATTCAGTTTGTCCGAATTTTTTTTTAAAGTTAAGTATGTCTTTGTCTGTTTTATATTTTTATGCTCTACAGTGTGTTTCAAGAAACAAAAAATTCAATCGAAATTGTGCTAGTTTTCAAACTGTCAGTTCAAACTTGAGCAGTACCGGAACACATAACAACATGACAACTCATTATTATCTCAACTGCAAAAATTCTTCAATATGTAAGTATTGCGACAATGATACGAAATATAAATTTTAAACGCCCTTCGGCGAAGTACAAGCATTGACCTCCTACGATCAGGATGACATCAAAAATGCAATAAGCTACGCAACAGGGATGCAGACGAATTGTTGACGTATTACGTTGAATTGGAGAGCTGGATGATTGCGATATTTGGTTCGAGTCAAATTGTATTAGGACGATATCCGTATGTTTCATATTGTGTGTGGTCTGTAGTCACTGTAGACGTATTTATCACAATACATCAACGTCATCTAAATTTTTTGCACAGCAGTACAAGATTTATACACAAAAACCTACATTCACAGGCTACTGTGCCACTACACAGTATTTGTTTCTATTATTCAACTCTGAGTCAAACATAATAGTATACACATTAACATTTCGATAATAAAGTACTGAGATGGTGTAGCATTTCATATGTGTCGTCACAAACTAAAAAAATTCAACTTATGAAATGAACAATGGAATCGAAACAGACACGATTTGCGTAAACCATTATTATTATTTCTTGGGAAGTCAAATCAACTTACGTTTTTAATATGTTTAATGCAAAATGTGGAAATATAAACATTTCAATGCTTATCAAATTAAACATATTGTTGCAATTTAAATTTAAAAAAAAATACAATCTGAACATTGTTTTTAATGATCTCTTTGTAATAATAAAATAGTTGCACATTCATGTTAAACATTTTCATTATCAGCGAATACTTTTTTTCAGGTAGACGGATACTTTTCATCATTTTTTATTGGATAAGTTTATTGTTATCTTTGGTTTTGTATAAAAATACGATCTATAAATATCGACTAAAATCTGCCAAACTTATGTTTTTTCTAATAGTTTGTAACTACTTAAAATCGTCAACTCTTAAGCTCATTTTTATTCGAACATTTGCAACTGTTTCGCTTACCGTCAGCTAATATCATTAGAGATAGATAGAACCAGCCGTTTATATTTGCAGATAAATCAAATTCGTTGCATTGAAAACTCGCATAAAATTTGTGACGCTGATAAAATGAAATCTGACATCTGCTGACGGTATCCTGGTTTACCCTAAAAATAAGAAAATCCGAGAGTATCAACGCAACATCAAAGCGCATGGAATGAGACCGCATATCGATAACTAACTAACTAACTGAAAATTATGCACTTGTTGTATCAAAGTGCATTGGTCTTGAGCTATTTCATTCAAAACTAATAACAACTTCATAGTAAATGACGAACATTTTTTAGGGGAGGGGTGCTTGATGGCAAAATTCCGTTGGAGGTCCTTGGCATAATTCATGGAGGGTCCTCACAAGAGTCACTTTTACCTAGTGGGTTTTTGATTCCACTTGGAACAATATTGATTACGGGGGTGGAGTGTAAATTGGCTTAGAAGACTATTATCCGAATCTCACGAAGGAAAAGTGGCTTGTAGTAATTGTTTTCATTTAATGCTGATGACAACGTCTGATCCTTATTGATTATTTGCAGAAAAATGAATGATTAATAGGTAATCCTTTTACCCATACACACAAATCACAACTAACCTCAATATGAACAAAAATTGACATAAAACTCAATTCATCCGAAGTCTCAACCGTTTTTGGGATACATTTTAGTTCAGATTTTTTCCGCTCAAATATTTAAGTGCTTAACATATATCACTTTGACATTTGAGCGGAAAAAATTTATACTAAAATTTATTCCAAAACGGTTGAGACTTCGGATAAATTGAGTTTTACGTCAATTTTTTGTTCATATTGAGGTTAGTTGTCATTTATGTGTAGTATACTATAAAGATATAGTCTAGGGGGTAGACATGATTCATCTGATCTGTTTAAATGACATTTGAAATATCATTTGTGTGTCATACAAGAAATATTTATTGAACAATTAAAATTATTTGTCTTCCAAAAAATCATTTCTTGACGTTTTTTAAATGTATTAACTGTTTTTCTATTCATATGATTCAAAGTTTTATAATTCGTGTCTACCCCCTTGGATATAGTGTTAACAAAAAAAAATACATTTTATAATTAATTATCAATAATGGACATTCCCAAGAAACAATTATATAACGTTTTTCAGAAAATTATATGTCGAAAAAGCTAACCATCATGGGCGAACATTGGTTAACGAGATATGGCCCATGACACATTTGAATAGCTTTGAATAGCTTTGAATAGCTTTGAATAGCTTTGAATAGCTTTGAATAGCTACTTCAAAGTGGTTTTTTTTATATGAAAACGACCATTTACAGCAAAATGGTGTGAGAACGAATTGTAGCTCTATTATATCCCTACAACTTTGCCTCAGACCATAACATCGGGTGAACATTGGTTAACGAAATATGGCCCATGACATATTTGAATAGCTTTGAATAGTTTTTAATAGCTTTGAATAGCTTTGAATGACTTTGAATAGCTACTTCAAAGTGGTTTTTTTATATGAAAACGACCATTTACAGCAAAATGAGTTTAAGCATTTTTTCTATTATATGTTCATTTCAATGTTAAATGGAACGTAAACTATATAGTTTTGCACGTAATAAGAAATTATCATGATAAGTTAATAATAATAAGCATTTCCACCAATATTGTTAATAGGCTCGGATGATCTTATTGAAAAATATTTTGGTGAGTAAGCATCTGATTAGCACTGTGAATCTCTTGCGGCAGTATGTCTGTGAATATTCTCTTTGTGGCCTTCCTGTACGTTCCGTGAAAATGACCAAAACTACACATAAATCCGGTCAAAGATTTGACCGTGAATTTATACCTGATAAAGGCGCGTTTTCCTACGCGACGATTGCGATCGTTGACGATTTTTTTTCGAATTGGTTGCCTAACACAAAACAATTAATTAATTCTACTTTCATTTGTTTTGCTTTCATTGCAACGTTTAATTACTAAAACTCTTCACAAAATCTGTCCAAAATTCCACGTTAACAATTGTTTCTTGGGTTGTAAATGCGTTATTAGGCACAAGTATCTTTATTATAGTTTTGCTTTTGTTTGAACCAAAAAAACTTGTTTATTTTATTTATGCATAAGTTGTGGTGTGAGATAGTGAAAATTGGCAATTCCGGTATGTGTAAGTTTTGAATTCAAGCTCTGATTACGATAAATTGAACGCTTTAGAAGAAAAAGAACATGTTGTTTGCTCGCATATCGAAACGCGACTCAAAATGGTTGCATATCAAAGTGAAACCAGATTTTGTTAATAATGCAATTGATTATTTAAACATATAGTCAGTATATGGGCTTTACATTCAATTAAATTATCTACTAGTAAAAAGCGTAACGATTTATGTAAGATCCGAAATGTATCGTAAGTTATGCATGTCCAATAAATACTTTCAATGAAACCAAATTCAGTTTTCATAATTCAACTGCATAACCTCGACAATGTTATAATCGAAACACACAACTTTGACAATAATTTTTGAACCTGTATTTTGTTTTATTTTCCGAACAGGGTATTATATGTATTTAAATGTCCATTTTTCGCAGCATTTCTCATTGGCATTTAAACAAAGAACAACAACACGTCTGCATAGAGTCAATCGACAATCCCGAAAAATTACAGGCTAAAAAAAATTTGGGCCGCAATCAGAGGGACTTAAAACAATATCTTCTATTATATTAGAGTGATTCCATCGTAATAGATTGAATTATAATCTAAATTAATAACTTTTTTCTTCTCCTTTTATACCTCATTGGGTAATAGCAATATTGTTTTTTTTTTATATATTTCCCCAACAATGAAAAACAAATCAAATTTTGTATCAAAATAGTTTTTTGGTTAAAATAATCATTAAACAATTTTTTTTTTAGAATGATTTGTCGATGTTCGGAAGTGCTAGAAGATTTTTGTTTTTGTCTTCATGGTGAAAATCGTAAAATTGATTGTTACTTGTAGAAGGAATGGTGGAATAAAGTCCCATATAATAATAGCCGATATCCCATTCCGCCAGAGTTTCGTGATGGACAGTTCGAATGGCCGAGCAATGAAAAGTTGGAGAATGGGTTCGTATACTTTTACTGACAACATATACGATAACCAATCTCACCACTTGGTGTGAAAATGGTTAAAGATTTGATGGCATCAACATCAGAAATGCCAAAATGTTAGCATATCGGTTCACCAACCTCACAAATAGTAATATGGAAAGAGTAGAAAAGGCCAACATTTCATTGAATGATTTATGGATGCGA